GTTCTTATCTGCAGGATACAGGCCACGTTTCTCTGCCTCTTTGTATTCCACATCTCGTAAGTTATACCACGAGTTCGAGAACACCATAGGACATGGTATGATGAATCGACCTCGTTATCCTTTTACTCGCCCTTCGGATAGATTTCTTATATCCCTTATACTTCGCTATTTGCATATTGGAAATTCGAATTATGCATCCTTTTTAATGATATAGTTCTTTAAAGATATAGATCTCTGATTACTGTTGTTATAAGGTATTCCTATTTCTTTTCCTTTTTTTTTCTCAATCTACCATTGAATGTGGTATATTTTCGCAAGGATTTTAAAGAACAGTAAAATTTACAGAATAAAATGTGTTTGTGTTGAAGTTGAGTTGAGGTTACTGTTGTTGAAAAGCATTTTTAGTATTTTTTTCTGTACGTGGGTGTATTTTCCAAGTAATGCGAATTTTTATGAAAATTTGAAGATGCAAAGCTACATAGGGTGCATAAAACATTGTAAAGATATATAAATAAATGCAGAATATAATACTCATCATAATAAAATAATAAAATTTATATTCTGTTTTTATATTTTATATAAATATTCCATTTTTTGTATTATATTCATAAAAATATGAATTTACATAAAAATCCGCAATTTAGTATAATATTGGTGAAATAAATCTCTGCTTAGGTTACGTTTCTTTAGTTTTGTCCACAAAAATTAAAATTTGCACAAGTATTCACAGCTTAGTTAATATAAATTTAAATCCATCAGAATTCTATTTCACCATTTTCATCTTATTTACATTTATCACAAAACACAAAATTTAAACGATTTATTTAATTTTGATTCCATTTGCGCTATTAATTTTTAAATTCGGAAATAATGAAGCTCAATTTACATTCTAATTTCGTGTTAACTACTATTCAACCTTTAATTAATCGATCAACTTTCAATCAGTCGCTCTATACCATTTATAAACAAAAGTTGCGAGTCACCGATCGACTAAAAAGAGACTTTATACCATGTGCGAATCAAAATCACTTCTTCCCTCTCCAAACAAGTTTCGGAAAGAGAAAAGATCATCCAGGTATAACTAACATTCGTAGATTTTCCAAGATCTCCTCAGGGAGAGACTCCGCTTTAGTTAGTTGTTAAAGATTTACTCGTTGTTAATTGATTATTAAAAATATTGTCAAAGTTACTCCCTTTCTGTCTCCAAGTAACAAGTGTCGAGTGAGATTCTAAAATGGAAAAGTCACCTACGCGCATCCTAGCCTGTTCGTAGACTTTCTAAGAAGTTCCTCTCTTGAGGAAGGGACGCGTGAGAGAACGGTTTAGGATATAATTATCGAATTCCGTTGGATGGCTGCCGGACACAGGGCCCCCGTGTATCCTTAGTGTGAACTTTACTGAACTTATATAATGCATGCGTAAGGAGAATGGACCACCCATGTGGAGAGGTCTCTCTCGACGCGGCCTCGAGTACCCTCAGGAGTCGCGCGCGGACCAAGTACTCCATCGAACCGAGTAGTCGCTTGGACAGCATACCGGGTAGAATATGACACCAGGTATGAGAGACAGCTTTTTCTAGCTGACGAATAGCACGCATCATGCATGCTCGATGGATCCAGTGGCGACTCGATTTCCCAATGCCAATGTTTGAAGATTTTTCTGCTTTGGACGTACGATCGGATTTAATGAACTTGATGATCATTTCGAGGATGGCTGGTATTCGTGAAAATTTGCAATTTTCATTTTTCTGAGAATTACTTACTTTAGTTAGGAGTACGAATTTTTGAAATAGTTGGTCTTGGGTGGTGTTCATTGTAAGTCTTTGGATGAGTATGTCTGAAGCATTCTTCTTTCGTATTGTCAAGTTTAACGATTTTAAGATGAAAGTTTAACTCGCAATCAGTTGCGGAAATTGGCGATTTTGTTCAGATTTTTTTCAAAATTATTTCCAAAAGTAGTTTACTTTAATTAGGAGTTAGGATTTTTGTAATATTGGACGTAATTTGTTGAAACTTTCGAATGGAAGTTTTATTTTTCTGGAAGTACACAAATTTAGTGAATTTGATGGTTCGAAATTTTACAAATTCTTAAATCATCAGTGTTCGAAACATCTTACTACAAGTTCTGAAACTTATGAGCTCTATTTGCAATCTTCTAATAGTAAAGCCTAAAACTTTCTTTCCCTCAAGTCTTATGAATTTATAATTCCTTGTCTTGCAATCTATAATTCTAATTAATAGCTTTTAAATATTAGATTTCCTTTCATCGGAGGATTTTGTTACATAACAGGAAAACGTAAATAAATTGAAATAAAAAGTCATGAAATCCACTATACAATTACATAAAAGTTTTTATTATTACAGTTTCGTAAGATCACATTCTTGAGCATGTAAAAAATACTGACGACATTTTAAAAAATTGTCCCAATCTTAATTAAAATGTTTAATAAAAATTAAGATCCATAAAATGTCCGAAATCTTTTTAAATGTTTAAAATCCGACAAGCATGTAGATTTCTCTGACTGATTGTAATTACATGAATCAAGAAAGCTTGTTTTTGGCAGTTTACAATTTGAGAATGAGACAAGTGTGTATACACAGATTTATAGAGTCGATCGTAATTACACGAATCAAACAACTCATTTGATTTTAGTTCGGTGTCCATTTTATTCTTCCGGGACACATAGTATATCAGACAAATCCGTAGAAAGCGTACCGGAATGACGAGTCGTGATGCTGTTCCTTCGTGAAGAGCAGCAGAGGCCGAAGATTTCAGGTCAGTCCGTCTCGAGAGCATAATGCATCACAGTACGGGAAAGAGTTGTGTAAACGAACTTTCATGAACTTCCGAAAGTAGTCGCTTTTTTTTCTCGCTTCCTCCTTTCACCCCCTTCTGCTGTTGATGTTTTCGCCAAGCATTTCTGTACTCTCTCGCAACTGGTGTTCTCTGCCTGACCGGACATATTTTCAAAGTTCTTCTCGATTTAACCCCGCCTCTCAATCTCCGTTCGCCACTGGACCATTCTTCGGTCACTTGCGATTAAGTTTCGTTCAGATTAACGAAAACATTTGAATCAATGGAATTTCATTGATATTTCAGTGTAGCAATATTTATTTAAGTGGTAGTAATATTTCAAGATTATTCAAGTTCGTTTAAGTTACGAGCAGATTTTAAGTAAAGAGTTTATTGAATATGAATCAGAATGTTATTTGTTATTAGAGAGAGAGAGAGGTTTGAATATTAATTTCACATTTATATATTTTGGTATACACAGTGTTTCTATATTTTAATACTACAGTGTTTTAACAGAAACACTAGAAATTTCTAAATTTGAAAATTTCCTTCTTCTTTTAAGGAGAAGATTAAAATTTTTAAATTCTGCTTCTCGTAGCATCATTGCAAATGAATTCTGTGATTTCCAAAGTTATAAATTTCCGAGACCTCCAAATTTTTTATTCCATCGTCCATAAGTTGTCCAATCTCTGAATTTGCAAATACGCTGAAGATTCAAATTTTCAATACATTTTTATTCCATACGATTTCCATGAAATTTCCTTTTTTTTTTTTTTACAGACGAGAATTATCCAGCGCTGTGAAAACGTCGCTAAATTTTAATTTTTCCAATTTCCCTAATTTTCTCTGAATAAGAAGCAAATATTCTTTCTCATATTCCACAAATATTTTCTGTCACTAACTTTTCGATATTTTTCTACCACGATCGTCCGTGTAGCGACGTCGGAGATGCTGGGATCTTGGTACAGTGTAGTAAGAATAATAATGAACAATGACCCCGTTGAAAAAGGCCGTGTCATTATTACACGCATGCAGAATCGGGCGTTTGTCGATAAATAAAAATAGGACTGGAAATCCTTCGAGCCTGTGTGTGGTCCGCGGGAGGTGTTAATCAAGAGACTCGCTACTGTCTTGCTCCTAACCGGCCCTTCAATTAGTATACATCTTCTACCTTCTCTCTACACACGGAAACTCCCGTGGTCCAGCCGAATTCACTAACCTCTCTGTTTCGAGTGGAATAAAACAAAAAGAAAAAGAAAGAAAGAAAAAAGAAAAGGCCGAGAAGGAAGAAGAAGGAGGAAGAAGTCCTTCTTAGAATTGCGTTGAACCTTCGCCGTTCGAATCGATTTTCTCCGTGAAAACTGATCAACGTTGACGGTAGAAAGAAATGAAATATGAAATCGTACGTTCTTTGGATTTTGTTTGAAGTTGCTAAGTATTCTAGGGGTAGAAATAATAGTTCGATGGAGTTAACGTGAAACTGGATTTTGTTTGAGGTCACGGATTATTTTAGAGGTAAAGATAATAGTCAAACTCGGATAACATTTTCGGGGAATTTTTCGGAGGAAAGATTTTTAGTTCATCGTATTTCCTCGATTTATTTAAAAAAAAAAACATTGCTTCATCGTTTCAGCTTTGGACTTTTGAAAATATCAAACTTCGAATGAGAGTAGATCTGGCCGGTCTGAAATAATAGATCTTGTATTTTTCTCTATGCTTCGTTATCGTTTCTGTAGAAAAAAATCGGAAACAGTAGATATTAATATCCCATTCTCAGTTCATTCCAACGAATACAGAACAAGAGTGAAATAATAATGATTTCTCGTTGCTGATAATATATGAAAGTCATATCCAAATTTTTATACACGTGATAAAAAAGAATCTTTGTCCTAACGATTTACATGTTACAATAAATTCGTGTAAGCACACACACATGGAAAAAATCAGAAGAATTTTCAATACATATCTATGTATTTTTCACGCACACTATTCTTTGGTGCAGTCTTGGCTAGAAATATCGACGACAGCAGATATTAATGTCTCAAAATCCACTTTAACTTTGTTCCAAAGAGAAGTATTATCGAAGGAAGATTTATGCGTTCGAATACTGATTTTACAGGTAGCATTGTTGTTGGAAGATTTCAGTAGTTCCGCGTATTTTTTTTTTTTTTTTTTTTTTTTTTGTTTTTTGGTTTTTTTTTTTTTTTTTTTTTTTTGTCGTTTCTGGGATTTTGTAATTATTGGGTGTTCGTAATTACATTCTAGAGGGAAAGGGTATTTGAGACAAATTATTGGTAGTTTGCCATTGTTGTTTTTTTTTTTTTTTTTTTTTTAATTTATGGCAGCTGCTTTTATTTACCTGCTTGATATTCGACGCTACAAATACGATATAAACGCAGCATATTCCCAATTGATACACAATCATGAACCCGTCTACGAGTCCTCTGCAAATATAATAGCAACTTTCATGTACACAGTTGAATAAAGATTGCCGAGCCGCTTGGTGAGGTGATTCTTGTGCTTTGTGTGGTTATGAATTGACTGATATTTGTGAATGAGGGTAGAGAAAAGATTTCTATAAGACTAATAACTATAAGTTTCGTCGATATGTGTATTAATAATGATGTTACTGTTATTACTATTAGTAATAAATTAATATTGATATTATCAATACTTGCAATATTAATATTATTTATAGTGGTACGTTATTATTACACATGTGCATACAAAATGCTCCAAAGAGAATATAGATGAATTAATTTCATTAATTTAGAATTTCTGATAATGTTATTAATTTATGATATTGGTATTATTACTATTAGTAATAAGTTAATACCGATATTACTAATGGGTCGATATCATCTACAATATATTATTATACATATACAAGATGTTCTGAAGTCTAAATTTTCTGCAAATTATTTTAAATTCTGTCAACGTCATGATTTTAACATATTGTCATCTTTTCTCAACCGCGTTTCTATTAAATATCTTTCGATCAAGATTATATTGGATTAAAAATTCTCTCCGAGCACACACTGAATAGCGAGCAAGTAGAATCGATCGTTTATGGTCAGACAATAGACGTATCTATCTGTATTCTCAATCTGTATTCTCAAGACTCTCGTGAAACTTTCTGATTTTCAATCCGGAAACAGCTTAAAATCCATCAATTTTAGTTTTATATTTAATTTGCCAGGAACAGGATCGTTTGTTATTATTATTTTTTATTCTTTACTATTCCTGAAGAAGTTTCTAGATGTTGGAAAAGATTTGCTATTAATTGCTTGTTATCAATTGTATTGTCAAGCATCGTCACAATGGAATTAATCTAATATTTTTTCAAACTGCCTCGAAACTTTTCTTCGATGTTAGAGTCGTTAAATATGAACAATTGAGACAATCGGTTCGTAATTTTTTGAAAGTTCTTTTCCTCCTCCACACATATCGTTTCGTGGAATTTTCACTTTTGATTCATTACAAATTTTGTACTCTAGTTATCGACAATTCCAATATTAACAAGTGTATACTGCAGATTTTTTATAAACTACTTTCACGAAATAAACGCTGAAAATTATTATTATCAAGAAGCTAACCAAATTCTCGGCACGAGAGAAAAGGAAAAATTGAGTAAGCAAAAATTAACTACCTTGTGCAAAATTGACCATACAGAACAGAAGATCCGGCAACGTACTATCAATTGTTGAAAATTTCATTATTTACAACGGACGTTGAACATTAGAAATGAAAGGTGTCCTAATACTATTGAATCTAAAGGCTGAAACAAATTAATGAATTGAACCTCGAGAACCCTTTAGAATTTAAACGAACACGAAGTTTGAGAAACGCGTCGTGTTGGTGGATGAATGGGCATCTGAATGACTGTGTGTCTGTACACGTGAATTGGATGAAAAATATAATACTTACGGTGCGTAAGGTGCGAACCATCGGACACATCCAGGCCCCTCCTCCAGTGCGTATTTCATGCTCAACGGATAACTCAATATAGGAACTCTTAACCGTTTACACAGTTTATACTGAGCTTTCACTAGCACGTGCAAACAATAGGTGCACAACAACCCTATGATCACTGTGGCTATGACACCGGTTATCAGGCCGCTGTTGCAGAACGCGTTCGGCATCGCGAGTATCCCGGTGCCCAGACTTCCTTTTAACAGATGTATCAGCGTCTCCGCGTTTCTGCGAAATAATACAAACACCAGAGAAGGGAGAGATTAACATTGGCTTAGATCTCTGTTCTATTCTCTTCTATATGTGTAATATATATATATATATAATAATAGTAAAGTTTATTTATATTATAATAAATTTATATTATATTTTAATTTAATTTATATTATTTTTTATATTATATAATAAACTTATATTATAATAAAAATTATATTATTATAAATATTTAATATATAATATAAACTTAATATAATATTAAATATAAATTAATATATAATATAATAAAGTTTATATTATATATATAATATATTATTCAATAAAGTTTTCTATAAACTATATTATACACTATATTATATATATTATATATATTATAACACTATATTATAATACTATATAATATAGTATAATACCTATATTATAATACACTAATATATAGTATAATACCTATATTATAATACACTAGTATATAGTATAATACCTATATTATAATACCTATTCTACCAGAACATGACTCGGAACAAATAGTTATAAATCAGAATATAAATAAAATAGAGATAGATATTTAATATCGATTTAAATACCCTGTTAAAAAATTAAAATACCAAATATTTCTGAGATACTCACGATGTCGGATTTGGCCTATTTCGATGTTTATGGGGGTCGTAGTCTTCTGGGTTTGTGGTCGGCGATATTGGAACTTCCGATGCATTTAGACCACTTCCGGCGATTTCATTATTAACTCTGCAACCGCATCAATTTGCAAATGCAATTCACGTCCCCGTGCGTTTATTTATCGAATTTCCAAACGATACATGCCGCGAATTTTAAATGCCATATGTCTCCGTAATAATGCGAGCAATTCGATTGAATCAACTCGGGGAGGGGGAAAAGAAAAATATTCACTAACGTGAAAATATTATCAGTTCTTCATTTCGTCGACGAGATACAACCCTCGCTCAAGAGTTTTAGAACAAATGCTACGTTTGCTTTGAAAATTGGAAAAATTAAATATACAAAGAATCTACAGGATCTGTTGTTGCATTAACAGTTGCTCTGTGAAATACAAAATGCAAAGTGCAAAGTTCAAAGAAAAAACAAAAAAAGGAGTTGTATTACCCACGATAAATGCATTAATTATTGAAAATGAAAAGTGTTGCGAGACTTTTGAGCGGCGAGACTCGTCCACACGTGCGAAGTAGAATTAGACGTACTTGTACGGACTCTCGGAACCGATCAGCTGCATATTTATCGTTTCTTCCTTTGCGTTCTCCATTCTGTGTTTGTCGATTAGTCGTCTCTATGTCGTTTCTATGTTTTTCAGAGAAACATCATTTATTGAATTATTACAAATACATGTGTGATGCAGGAATAAATGTGAAAGAACAATACGTTTAGTTATTCCAGGACACTAGATTAGATTTTTATCTCTCAATTTTTCTTTAACTTCAATTTCATCGTTACTTTTTAACAATTTTAATTTCACATCTGACAATTAATTTTAAGTTTTTTTTTTAATATTACATTTGTCTCTAATTTTCATTAAAATCCGCCTGCTACGATTAATTAATGAATTAATTTTATATTTTTTTTGTACGAATAATCTCTCAAATAATCTTGCGTCAATTTCTTTTTTATTTCGATTAGAAAATAATTTATCAAACGACGTAACAGCATACATCACTGTTACAATGAAAAATTACAAAAATCTAATTCTTTAAAGACTTCAATGACTCACTGTATATCATTATAGCGATTCTTCTTGACTCAGTAAAGCTCTCTACCTCCCCTCCAACTCTTTCGAGTCAACCATGCTTCCCGTAACACTTAATTCACTTCTCATTCAACACTTACTCACACTCATTGAACACACGAGACGAAGACATAGGAAAATCCCCAGTCGTAAATAAATTTCTCTATTCTCTGCTTCTTTTATCTCCAGTCGAATTGAATAACAAGGGGATATCATTAATTCGTTTAACATTACGTTGTAGCAATTGAAAATAATATGAGCATAAGCATCGCATGAAACACGACAACGACGTAATATTAATTTCGATTGTCGTTAGATTAGAATCTTCGATATTTAATATTTAATTCTATTTAATATCTAGTCTGTTTCGCTTCAAAAAAAAATGGTAGCGTTTCCTATATAATATCGAATCACGTTTTTATATTCAATACACGTCTTATATTTTGATAATTTATACTAATTTTTATGCTAATGGTATTTTATATTTTGTGCGAGAGTTCTAGTGTTATCTCGCGAAATACTTTTTAATTCGTCATACATGTAGCCTTCTAATGTATTAGGCTGCTTTGTTTACAAATCTTCTATTTCTTGATGCATCGTATCATCTCTCGAATGAATATTATTTCAACCATCGATAGTTTTACTCTCGAAGTGTTTCCGACATTGCATTGTTCACAATGCAATAGGGATTCTAGAAAATAATAAAATTCTAAGATATATTTTAAATTTAAATTACAATTATTTAATTATAATTAAATTTAAATTATAATCACAATAATTCTCCTATTTTTTTCCTATTTTAATTATAATTTAAATTAAAATTTAATTTAAATTATAATTATAATATTCTCCTATTTTCCTATTTAATTTAAATTATAATTATAATATTCTCCTATTTTCCTATTTAATTTAAATTACAATTATAATAGCCTGCTATTTTCCTATTTAATTTAAATTATAATTATAATATTCTTCTATTTTCCTATTTTAATTATTTAATTTATAATCTTCTATTTTCGGCAAATTTAATTTTCTATTTTTCAATGCATCATATCACTTCTCGTGTCAATTTTCCATACATCGGGACTCGAGAGAATAATAAAATTCTACGATAATAACAGAGTTAGTATCCTGCTCTCCTATTTTTTAGAAATTTAATCTTTTATTTTGCGATGCGTCGCAAACATTTCTCGGATCAACTTTTTACACGCAATTTGGAATTTGAGAAAAATAATAAAATTCTCAGATAATAACACGGTTCTCCCATTTTCTAGAAATTTTTCGGTTCCCCATTTTCGAATCATCATCTCTCTCTCGCGAATCAATTTTCTACGCAACTGGGACTCGAGGGACTAATAAAACTCTAAGATAACAATAGGCTCCCCTATTATTTTTGAGATTCATCACCTTTCGAATCAATTTTTTCTTGAGAGAATAATGCTAGAAAATTCTAAGGCGCAGGGTCGACATCCTGTTCTCGCGAGAGCGATACGCACGATGCAGATGAAACGTATGCACGTCAGGATCAAAGGCACGACCCAGATCTGCTATACATACATGCAGACGTGCATTAGAGCTCCTGATCAATTGGCGGATATGGAGCAACACGACGATTACACGCGCACGATAAAAATGACAATTCATCATTGCGAATCTGTTCGAATCCTCCGCGGACGACACGCGTAGCTTTAGCACATTCTTTCGCGAACTGATTGCTCTTAATTATTGCATTGAGGTCAAATGTGTAGTTAACTTACTGAAGGTTATATAGCAAGCGCACTGTTCTCTCACTTCGTCGTTTGCCACGCGGCCAATTGATCCACGTTCGGGACGAGAGACATCATCTACGGACATCTCGAGATATCGAAAAGTTTTCCACGCGATCGCACGAATTTTTCTATCTACTTTTCTCTTCTTCTTTTCAATTAGTTCTCTATCTAATTTTCTTCGCGTTTTACTTACGTTTTTTTATTCATTCTACACTTATTTTATTTTATCATCGTTCTACATTCGTATTTTATTTATTAAAAATATATATAGTTATTAATAATTTTTTTTTATATATAATATATATTTTTATATATTAATAATATTTTAACATATATATAATTAATTAATATTAATAATAGTATTAATATTATTAATTTATATTAATAATATTTTAATATATATATAATTATTAATAATAATATTTTTTTATATAATATATATTTTTATATATTAATATTTTAATATATATACAATTATTAATAATTATATTTTTTATATATAATACATATATTTTTATATAATTTAATAATATCTTAATTATATAATATTTTAATATATATAATTATTAATAATAATATTTTTTATTTATATTAATTATATTAATAATATTAATAATTTTATATATATATTAATAATATTTTAATTATACAATATTTTAATATTTATATAATTATTAATAATAAAATTATTACACGTCGGATCTTTGAGAATCAATAAATATTCCAATTTTCCTTTCAAATTTCGTAAAATTATAAAGTCGACGACGAAGCGTATAACGATCAAAAAAATTTGCAAACGATTTCATGAAATTTTCTTCCGTAACTTTGATGCTGGAAGCTAGAGTTCGAGCTAGATTCGTTTAAAATGAATTTCAAGCAAATATTGGTCCTTAATCATTTTAATAATTAAAATATAGTCGTCGAGCAAAAATTTTAAATTTTCGAGAAATTTTCTGAAATCGGTGAAATCACTGGGCAACTGGATTTGCTCGCGCGAAGTCGTTCCAACGCCGAACTGATTCTTCGAAACGCAGAAATAAGGAAATCATTATCTAATTGTCGCATGAAGCGCAGAAAATATAGAAGATAGAATGCCGGTGCACGATTTCCCTTTGATTGAATAATGATCATTCGCTGTGGCGCGATAGCGGGTCAAAATCAGAACTGACGATCAACTTGTACGATAAAAGGTTGAAAAAATTTCGTAAATCAGGAAGAGAATATGAATTATATAAAATTATAATTATAAAATATTTCTATATAATTATTATTACAATTATAATTAAAATTATAATTATAAAATATTTCTATATAATTATTAATATAGTTAAATTAAATATAAGTATAATTAAAATTATAATTATAAAATATTTCTATATAATCATTATTACAATTATAATTGAAATTATAATTATAAAATATTTCTGTATAATTATTATTACAATTATAATTGAAATTATAATTATAAAATATTTCTATATAATTTATATAATTATAAAATATTTCTCGCGATTTCTCATTTCAATTTTATACTAAAATGTTTCTTGAGTCGTCAAAATAAAAAAAAAAAAAAAAAAGAAGAAGGAAAAGATGAAAATGAAATTCTTCCTTGGTGAAAGAAGTAATAAAATTCGGAGATTTTCAAAATCCGAGTACTCGAATGAACTGAAAAATAAAATAATTATATGTTTTCCGCGTTTTCTGGGCTTTTACATTTGTACATTTTCCCATCATAAGTTAATTATAGTTATGACTGTAGGTTAACTTACTTCGTAATTATTAGAATTTCGTTCTATTTCATTTTCATCCTTTCCTCTTCATAAAATTTTACATCGCCGTGCCCCTATTGAAACAATTTCGTAACTTTTCAATGTAGGAATTATTTCAACTAGCCAGAGCAAGTAGAACTATCAAACAAGTTGCACCGAGTCTACATCTCTGATTCTAACCACCGGTATAAAGGGTAATCGGTGTGTTAGGTACTTTCCAATCGAGTTCAGAAGATTACGCGTACGCAACGCGATTTATACATCGTATTTAATAGTGGAACAGGCATAGCAATCGAGACGATTGGTTCGTAATATTTTCGTGGAATTTTCGTAGATTTGAACAGTCTTTCGGTAAATATCTTCCCTTCCAGCAATTTATAAACAGACTGCAATTCTTTATGTTATATTTTATTGTTAGAAAATTTAAAATGGAAATTTATTAGAATTATTGGAAAATTTATTTAGAAATATTTAGAAATTTATTTAGAAATTTATTAGAATTTATTAGAAAATTTATTTAGAAATATTTTTAATAGCGAAATTTCACAGCACAATATAAAGAAATGTACGAAACATCCAAAGTTATTATAGTGCTTTCTATAATATAATATTTGGTACGTGCAATAATTTCCATAGAAATTCCGTTTTCTTTTTAGTTATGTTTTCAACGTAACTAAGCTGTTTAATTCTGTTTTGTATTTTTTTTTTTTTTTTTTCTCTCTGACAAAGACTAGTAATAAAATTAAATTAAATTGAAAACTCCGAAAATTGAGCAATTTGGAAACATAAATTTTTTTATATTGTAGCTTCGAATGTAAATACCAGTTTAGGATCAAAATCAATTATTAATTTATCGTCATTTTGGCATAAAGACGATATCGTTGGCATATTTTTCGTCTCGCGCGACAAATGAAATTCGGCGCTCACTTATGTCAATGGTGCTCATTATCGCGTACAAAGCGGCAATGTAACGGTTCGATGTAACGATAATGATACTGATTAACACTATCATCGTGTCCTGGACATTAAATAACTAATTAACTCTTGAAACAGTCTCACCGAAAAATTCTCAAAGACTAAACTGATTTACGTGAAAAATTAAATGAAAATCGTGAAATAAAATCTTAGAATTCGGGAGGCTTCGTTTATTAAAAGAATATAGACTTTAATATGCTAAATAATTATTTTAATCATTTTTGCAATATGCTTATTATTAAACTGTGAATATCTCGGCAAGTTCATGTTTATTAATAATTGTTATTGCAAGTGAATGCGTATTCTCGATTATTTTCTCATTGTCAGTTAAAAAATTGCGATAGAAAAACAAAGTGTAAAGAGACAAAAAACTTCGATTAGTGTTCAATTTATGGAACATAATTTTATGAAATGATTATTTCATTGGGTCGCGAGGAAATTGCATTTAATTTGATTCTAATTTTAGGCAACGATGTTATTCGAGGTTCTTATTTAGCAAATGATTGTTGCACAATTATATTCGATTATTAAATTGTCCTTGTTGAATTTTTATTTATTATACGAAAAGATTGTTTTATAGTTAGTGCGTTTAATTTAAATTATTTTTAATTTGAATGATCATCAAAGAAATAAATTTATCGAGAAATTATTATATATATAATTGTATATAATTATATATATTATTATATATATAATTGTATATAATTATATATTATTATATATTACATATATTACATTATATATTATATATAATTATATATATAATTGGGATAGATTAATAAATTTTATTTATAAATAATATTGTGAACGTTACAACATTAATTCGTTAAGCATTAATTTAATCCTGATAGTTACGTTTGAAGTTATGTTCATTTATCGAACGATCAAATGTTGCAATCAATTATATGTTTCATTTGAATAAATTATATTAAGTTTTCATTTGTGAAAAAAAAATTTTTTTTTTTTTCTTTAATATGAAATCAAATGGTGCTCACCTCTTACGCCGGAAATGAGATATGCTTCTTCCTTAAAAAATTCTGACGACTATGTTTATTGACTTCCTTGCTTCCTCGTCGCTGACTTCTCCTACGAGATATGAAAATACAAGTGAAATTTGAGTGATTTCTTCAGATATAATTATTTTATGTTTGACAATTAAATTTTGTAATTCGTTTTGTATTTAAATTTAATGAAATTGCTAGCATGAAGTTTATTTCACAGTGATGCAGATTTAATAGTTCAATACCGTTAAATATAACATTTTTAGATACAATGTTTTTAGCTAATAATTAAAAAGAAATTATTTGTCTAGATTTATTTAGATGAAATGTTAGAAATATTTTAAAAAAAAAATTCCTCTTATCGTGCAAACAACACCATAATTCATTCACGCCCAATTTCTTGCAATTACGACCACTGTTCGAATTAAACATAATTAAGCTTCCTCGGGTTTCAAATTTCAAACTTCCTCCGCTTATGAAAAAGATCACACAATCGTTCGCAATTGGATAAATTGCTCAATCTAACTTATCTAATTGTATTTCGAATAGTATAGTTTGACTACCTTAAATATTTCTCTATATTAAAAATGTCAGAATTGAATCTAAGACAACAAAATAATCTTACCAAACAAATTCAATAATACCATTTGACAGCTAATATAGTTATACCAATTATAATTTTAAATTAATTTATACAAATTGTAATTTTGTATTGAAATAATTTGCTCTCATAGTGACTTATATTCATCACTAACAATTTTCTAAATGGAACCACATTGGAACCAGGACGAAAAGTAGTATTTTTTGAATTTTTAATCCTAATATTTTTATTCTCGAATATTATAAAAGTTAATCTGAAATTTCCAAACTTGTAACTTTTAATTTAACTTTTAATATTGTAAAAGTTAATCTGAAATTTTCAAACTTTTAAGTTTTAATTTGAGGAAAATCTTGATTTTAAGTTTCCAAATTTCCGTCTGAGAAAAATCTTAATTTGGAATTTCCAAATTTCAATCTGAGAAAAATTTGAAACTTTTAAATTTTAGTCTGAGAAAAGTCTTAATTTGAAATTTCCAAATTTCAGTCTGAGAAACATTTGAAACTTTTAAATTTTAATCTGAGGGAAATCCTGATTTTAAATTTCCAAACTTCAATCTCAGAAACATTTGAAACATTTAAATTTTAATCGGAGGAAAATCTTGATTTTAAATTTCCAAATTTCAATCTGAAAGAAATTTTAATCGTTAAATTTCCAAATTTCGATCAGTTTGCACACGCGTACTTGTATTAAAAGATAAAGACAGAGAACACCGTGAGATTTTGATTACTTGAGGGACACACGCGCGTCGAACGCGGTGCGACGCGGCTTTAAAGCATAGTAATCGATCTCCTAATTCTTACTTCCTCAAAATGCATTAGGGGAACACGTTGGCCGGCTCATGAGCGCTCGACGTCGAAACAATGTCACCGAGAATGTATTTACGCTCCGGCTAATTTCAGAATTCAAAAACCATTCTGCCATCTGATAATCAAACCATCTGTTCCGCAATAATTGTCGCACGAGAAGATTCTTCAGTCAATAGAATTTTTTTAGATACCTCGCTGCAATAAGAGTACACACTTCCGGTATGTATTGTTGTTAAATAATTGGCTTTTCAGATGTCTCTTAGACAATGACATACGTTTCCATTGTACTTTTCTATTGATACTATATTTTTATATAGTATTTATTTCATTTTATATAGTATTTGTTTATTTTATTTATTTTTTATTTTATTTTATATAATATTTATTTATTTATTTTTTATAGTATTTATTTATTTTATTTTATACAATATTTATTTATTTTTTTATAGTATTTATTTATTTTATTTTACATAGTATTTATTTGTTTATTTACTTTTTATATAATATTTATTTATTTATTTATTTTTTATAGTATTTATTTATTTTATTCGATACAGTATTATATTTTGGGGGAAGATTTTTCTTTAGTACAATTAGATTGCCTGTCACTGGTAACATAATTTCAACTTGGCGAATGATTTCGAAATGTTCCAAGATTGCTCAATTTCTTTATACTTGTATTTTATCATTCATTTGTTATATTTAGTTCATTGTTCATTTATCAAAGACCAAGCGATTGATAATGATATTAAAAAAATACAAATACCTCGAAATGTGCAAGTAATTTAATCGACTGTTCTGTTTCAATTTTTTTTTTATTGCATAATAAAAGTCATAAGCTGATTGATAATTAATTAAGAACGAAAGTGAAACGAGTGGAAGAAATTAATAAAGTGGAAAATCGACGAACGAGAACACTGATATTTAATAACACGAATTATTATAATTGGCAACGAGGATGTTTTAATTAACAAACGGGAATTATTAACAGATAAAAAACAACGAGTGAAAATTCAGTTGAATTCAAGTATTCTTTAGATTATTTAGATTATTCAAATTAATGGGAGATTTCTCAATCTTTAATTCGATAAATCCAGCTTTCCATCGTAAGTTCACTAAAGTGAAGATTATTATTACATTTTTATATAATAAAAATTGAGCACGAGAGAGTTAACAATAATTCTTGAAAGGAACGTCAGAGTGAATTTTATTTATTTCAAGTCTCTGTTATTACAAATTAATCGTATGAAACGAGTTGATAAACTAGTTTATGTTAACTGGTTGTGATGTTAGTGTTGATGTTAGCAAACAAGTTAACAAACAAGTTAGTAAACAAATTAATAATAACAAGGTAGGAATGGCAATAGTGTACAAAGCTGATATTACATTGAATCTTAAATAGAATAGTGTATCGATAGCACCGTACGATGACAGAGAATTAGTAGAGTACAAGCACGAATATAGACGACTGTGTTAGCACCCCAATAAAAACTCTATAAACCGTAATTGATTGGTGAAATACGAGCTTATATCGAGTTAAAGTAGCCAACTCTCTCTCTCTCTCTCTCTCTTCCATTTTTTCCTTTTCAACAACTGGTTACACATATATTCTTTTTCCACTGTAATTATCTTAATTAACATCTGATTTACAAATAAAGTAATATAAATTTTGAAATTCTAAATTAACGATTCTGTATTCAAGTCTCTATCTATACCCTAGTGCACCTCTTATCACCCTAATGCTTCAATGTATAGCAATCAAGACCACGAATTGAGACAAACCAATAAAAGAGGAGACAAATTACTATTAATATCAATAACTACTAATAATTGTTAATATTAATATTACTGTTACTGACGACTTGAGTTGCAAAATTACAAAGTCACAAAATTATAAACGAAAGGAACTGGAGAACACGAGCTTCTATTCAGCGCTCTCAAAGATACACCGTTACAAATATATAAAATTTAATTTTTAAAAAAATTTCAAATTTTTTTGAAATTACAAATTTTGATTTATAATATATATATTAATATAATATATAATATATTATTACATTAATACAATACTTTTATTCATAATTTGTAATTTAAAATTATAAATTAAATTTCATATAAATATAAAAAATTTAATTAAAACGAAAATTATAAATTTGTCGTAACTGGTAACTGGTGATCCCAGCGTTAAAACACAAACCACTGTGACAATCTAATCTGCATCTAGACACCAAGACTACTTGTCACGGATCAAGGAAGAACAGGCAACCGAAACGAATATATTCAAGGCCGTGACAAAAGAGAAGAAGCGAATTAAAGTAGGAACACGGTCGTTAAGGGTGGACAATGACGGAATATATAGTCGGTTCGTCTAGACTCACCAGATGAAACACATCCGCAGCGATGGAAACGGAAAGTAAATCGAGCCGCCAGACCGTGTGCGCGATCTCTTGGTCACGATGGATCTCCTAACGTTAACGTGCACGGTCCAGAGGATGTCTAGCGACTGGGCCGCGTCAAACCGCGGAACATTTCAATTTCCAACGGCGACAAACCGACAGCGAACCTGCCCGTCACGTGACGACAGTTAGAAACTACGCCTTCGATGTAACCACGGGGCGAGCAGATGGGTTTCGGTATCGTTTCGACTCGAGACGAGTTGCAAAGACTGTCGCAGTTCGTCGTCTGCCCCGGAACAGGCAGCTTGCACACCCCCGGGGGAGAACAGGTGTTTAAATTTGGAAATTGCCGAGGTCTTCGCGGATCCAGGTAACTCGGAGATCTTCCCGATTGTATAACATTTGGAGTTGATCGGTGATCGACGTTCCTTTATTTCCGAAAATCGCTTCCGAATTTTGGGATATTTTGGGAACACGACGTCTGAGGATTTCGAACGTTTGAAACTAATTTGAGATCGTGGAAGCATTGAATTTGGATGTTTTGCTAATAATTTGGAGATTATTACAGATTATTCAGTATTGCGTAATATTTAGAATTGAGATGGAGTTGGAAATTTTGAGAGTTGGAGGATTTTGGAGTTTTCTGGGAATTTTGAACGTTTGAAACTAATTTGAGATTGTGGAAGCATTGAATTTGGATGTTTTGCTAATAATTTGGAGATTATTACAGATTATTCAGTATTGCGTAATATTTAGAATTGAGATGGAGTTGGAAATTTTGAGAGTTGGAGGATTTTGGAATTTTCTGGGAATTTTGAACGTTTGAAACTAATTTGAGATTGTGGAAGCATTGAATTTGGATCTTTTGCTAATAATTTGGAGATTATTACAGATTATTTTTACAGTATTATATAATATTTAGGTGGAATTGGAAATTTTAAATTGGAGTTTGAGGATTTTGGAAGTTTGTATTAGGAGGTTTGAAGCTAATGGCACAAAGAATGTTCAGATTGTAGAAGAAGTGTTGAATTTTGAAATTTTGCTGATCCAAATAATTTGGGGATCTTGCAAATTATATAATATTTGGAATTGAGGTGAAATTGGAAATTTTAGAAATCTTGGGAGTTGAAGTTTTAAGATTTTGCAATAGGATGTTTGAAGCTAATGGCACAGAGAGTGTTCAGATCATAGTAGAAGTGTTGAATTTGGAAATTTTGGGAATTTGTCAATTGCAATTGAAATGAAATTTATTTAGAAATATTTGTGGTTGAAATTTGAGAATTTTGAAATTTGAAACAAGGTTAACAAGTTTAACACAGGTTTGATGTTTCACACAAAGCTTCAGATTCAATTTTTCACAAAGTGAATTAGAAATTTTTAAGATTTTTTCAATCTAATTTGAAGATCTTGAAAGTAGAAATTGAAATTAATATAGTAATTGGAATTCAAGTGAAGTTTGCTTGAAAATTTATAGAGTTTGACGATGTTGGAATGAATTTTGAAAATTTAATATAAAGATGGGATTAGTTAACAATTTAATCGGTATTTAAAAAATTTGTCTATATAATCTGTTACTAATTTCCAACATTGCCAAAGAAGAACATTTAGTATGTATTCTCTCCTTAATTTTCAAGGATACCTATAAAACAAGAATGAACGAAACGAAATTTGGCTATGTGAGTCACATAAATATCCATTAGCATCAAGTTTGAAAGAGAATGCATCGATTGACCCACAAAGGAAAATTACACGAAAGCTGAAAATATCAAAAATTATCATTTATCAAAATTAATAATATTACTATTAATATTTGAATGGAATATGACGAACTACTTTTTTAAACATTATTATATTTTAAATTTATTTTTCTATATAGTCAAATTCGATTAACAAAAGGTACTTCTTAATCATTGATCCTTTATAATAATTTAAGATTGAATTAGTAAATTTCGAATTTGTTCATTTAGTTCAGTTTTAAATGAAGTAATACACATTAACACGCAAATTATAATAAAACAATTGGAGAAATTGTTACATTAGAAAATATTACAGTAATACATCGTTGATTCAAAATACACGAGTTTATACAAAATATTAAAAATTAAAAAATATTGCAAAAATTATAGTAATGTATCGTTGATTGAAAAATACGTAAATTCATATAACTTAATGTCTTAACTTGTATAAGTAACGCGTAAATGAGACTTTATTTACAAAATCAATTAATAATCGTTCAAAAATCGCAGCCTACAAAAAAAAAAAAAACCAACTAGAGTACACCTATCACACGAAGTGCAAGGGTAACGTTAAAATTGTGAGTGAGCACGTTGATAAAATTTCATCCTCTAATATTTATCTATGATCGATAAGGACGATACGAGTCAACTTGATGTCGTTGCGGTTATTCGCGTGGATGGACGATAAAATAAATTGAGCACAGCATGATGCACGGATCAGGCCATCACTTCAAAAGGGTGTATATCGATCGTACAGACCAAACATATATACATATACGCTTGAAGTATTACTCGGTCACTCGGTTCACCGTAATTTCCTCCTTTGGATTATTAATAATCATTGGTTCGATCTGCACTTCTTAGAAATTAGGAAACTGACGAAAAATTATGTGAGCACACTTGCTTTTACATTAACTTTTTAGTGTTATTGGTTGAATTATTCGTTTGCTACTTCTTTCATCGAGTTTGGAGAATTTATAATTTTTGGGAAGGGACGATATAAAATGATGGAAAAGCAAAAGAAGAGAGAGTTACGAGGAAGAACGAAGATTTTTGGTTAAACAATATAATTTTTACAGTAGTAAATGGAACAATGAAACATTACAGTAATTAATATTAATAATGCATGATACATAAATATTATAGTAATAATTGTGCGTGGAAGAACTAAGGTAACAAAAAGAAAAACTTATATCAAAAAACAACAAAATATTTCAACTAGATCTAACACTAACATTAAAATTTCGTCGATAAACTATTTTGCAATTATTAAAAATATATATAGATATTGTTGGCAAAATAAAATTTATTTATGATCATTTGTGCATGACAGTAAAGTACGTATTAAGATTAGTAATTTTGTTAATAAAGCATAGAGATTTTTAAACAATACTTACTCTTCGTCCCATCGAAATACAAAAGGAGAAAATTCGACGCGATATCCAAAGTGGAAAGAAACAGAATTCAAGAGTGGAATCGAAAGTCGAATTCACTTCTGCACAATCGACAACTCTTTTGTAGGTACAGACCTTATATAACCTTACCAACCCTCGAACATTGAACTAAAATGCAGAAGCGTTACGATTGAGCTATCGCAAGGAATCACAGTTCATCTTTAGAGTTCTAATGTCTCACTTATCGTTCACCAACATCGACTTTAATTTACCACGTCTCAATTATAAATCCATGTTATATTGTTCCCTCGAACTAGAATTTCAACTTTAATTTGAATCACTTGGTAAATCACATTTAAATTACGTCTACTTCGATTAAAATTCAACATGCTTTCTATAACCCAAAACTATCCTATTCAAGATAATTTTAATTGTAATTTAAGGCCCCTTTTTTCAACTGTAACCCAAAACCACCCTTGAATTCAAGATACTTTCAATTGCAATTCAAAATCACCCTTATATTCAAGACACTTTTAACTACAATTCAGAATTATCTTTAAATTCATCTATAATCCAAAACCACCCTTAAATTCCATATATTTATAATTATAACTCAAAATCACCTTTGAATTCAAGGTACTTTCAACTGTAATTCAAAATTACCCTTATATTCAAGATACCTTTAGCCACGTTCAAAACCATTCTTAAATTCAAGATACTTTCAACTATAATTTAGAACTATCCTTAAATTCAAGATACTTTCAACTGTAATCTAATACCACCCTTAAATTCAAGATACTTTCAACTGTAATCCAAAACCATTCTTAAATTCAAGATACTTTCAACTATAATTTAAAACTACTCTTAAATTCAAGATACTTTCAACTGTAATCCAATACCACCCTTAAATTCAAGATACTTTCAACTGTAATCCAAAACCATCCTTAAATTCAAGATACTTTCAACTATAATTTAAAACTACCCTTAAATTCAAGATACTTTCAACTGTAATCCAATACCACCCTTAAATTCAAGATACTTTCAACTGTAACCCAAAACCATTCTTAAATTCAAGATACTTTCAACTGTAATCCAATATCACCCTTAAATTCAAGATACTTTCAACTGTAATCCAAAACCACCCTTAAATTCAAGATACTGTCGACCATAATGCAAAATCACCCTTAAGTTCTACGTATTTTCAAGTCTGACCCAAAACCACCCTTAAATTCAAGATAATTTTCCAACTCATAATTCAACCCAAGCTCATAACCCAGAACTCAAAAGAATCCTTAAATTGAAGACACTTTCGCCCATAGTCTTTCAACCATATAACAATTATCACACACAATCACTTAAACTTCAAACAACCGGAAATCACTTCAAACAAAGAACTCGTCCGCTCGACAGCTTATAGGAACATATTCTTCATGTTCGATCAAACTTACGTTGGACGTTCTTTCTTTCAGAAGTGCCAAACTGCCGATGAGGACGCGTGTGCTAGCGGCACACACACGGACGTACGTTTTATTGACATAGGGTCGCGTGCACACGTGCGACGAGCAACTGTCCGCACCCCGGGTTTGCCTCGAGGTATGCGGGGTGCAGCCACCCCGGACACCGATCCATACGCCCGTGGCTAGAATAAAATCTCATGGCGTCTGCGTGGAAACCCTTCCACCCCTCAATTTTCCCTCGCCATACCTCCTCCCTTCGTTCTGTAACCCTGAACGACTTTGATTCTCTAAGGTCTGCCATGCATGACATCATTTCTCGCAGAAGTCTTGTTTGCGCAGGTAAGCGTGACATAACATGATGAAAGAAATCTCATACATGGTGGAAGTTTTTCTCCTTTTTAATCTTTTCTCTATCGTTCCCTTCATTAAATAACTTTTCTATAAATCTCTTCTTTTAAAGATATCTTAGATATTCTGAAATAATGATTTCCTAGCGTTTTTGAAATAATAATAATTTAATTAAATTTGAAATAATTTAAAAAATAGTTTTTGAGATAATAATAATTTAATTAATTCGAAGTAATTTAATAGTTTTTGAAATAATAATAATTTAATTAATTTGAAGTAATTTAATAGTTTTTTGAAATAATTTAATTAATTTAGTTTAGAAATAACAATAATTTAATTAATTTAGTTTAGTTGTGAACTTGGATGGCTTTAGTTCTTTAGTGCAGAAATCTTTGTGCAAGTATAGATTTTGTTGTATGACTTCTTTTTTAAGAAATAATTTATTAGATGACGAAGAAAAATTGCTAGGATTTTTTGTAACGAAAGGGGAAGATTATCAATTGATTGTAACTATTCGTTCCAATTAAAAATCAGGGAGCTAATAATTCATTTAATGATTTGCCAAATAATTTATAAACATTTAATAATCGACGGTTCGCATAATAGAGGGTCAGGAATACAAATGAACAATCATTTCACAGCTAGTAGTCACAACAAATTTATTCACGTCTACAATATTAAATGATAAAACAAAGATTTCAAAAAAAAAAAATCAAAGAGATCCATTTCTAATAATAATGCGCGCAATAAATCATCTTAATAATCTGATCGACGTTAATTTTATTAATTTACCAAGCAAGGCGTATATACCATATACTTGTACCTTGCGTTATTAATATAAAAAATAATAATAATAATAATAATAATAATAATAATAACATACGTATAGTTCAAATTTATTTTACTTCAATACAATTAATAAATAATTTAATTACGTTGTACTTAAAAGCCTAGGAATCATGTTCTTTCGCTTTATTACTTTTTTCTTTCTCTTATCTTAGGTTAAATTAAAACTGCCCGTATAAATCGGTCATGATTGAATCCACGATATTTCGAATTTTGTTTTACATCGTCCGTATCAAAAATTCGAAAGATATAAATATTACGATTATCGTTTCGATTAATTAATTATCGATTATTAGATCGGTGCATGTGAAATACGTAATTTTTCTATTCGAATAAATCTAATGAAACTTTCGATCTGTTAAATCAACAATCGTATTAAGGAGCAGAAAATTTCCCATAACCAGATCAAAAAAATTCAGCCATCGTGAGTAACCAGAATCTTTATTAGAATCGGAATTTTCTTGCACGGGGGAAAAAAAAGATATCGACGAAAACTGTAAAATACAGAAACAGATTAAAGAAGTATATACTTTATCTCGCTGGAAAATTTTTCGAAACACTTGAGAACACAATTTCAAGGATCTTTTAATTTTGAAATTGATAATTCTCGAACATTTAGAATAATGAAACTGATCGAATGAAAAATTATTTGTTGTTGAAATTCATGATGTTTGAAACTGTTATTGAAATTGTTCGACGTATGAAAAGCACCGATCTAATATCTCTGGGAACGATCTGCAGCATGAAAGCTCTTTGTTTAGAACGAGAGAATCATGTTTCTAGAGAAATTTGGACGAGTGAGCGTCTCTTGAATAAAAAATGAAATATGACGTTTAGTAAAGCGAAGATTTCTTTTCTCATCATCGTCGAGAACACATTTCATTTTTCAGTCATCAGTAATTCTTAAGCTTAGGCGAGTGTTATCTTTTAATGGTTAGAACACATAGACTTGATCACAATCGCGTTAGATAATCCTCGACCACTTAACGTGACAAATTGATATCTCACGCGTACGATGCTGGTGTTTATTCGTTTACACATTCGACGTAACGACGAGAATATTGTTTGCAAATTTATATTTTAAAATCACAATCAGCCAAATGATAAGCGAGATTTACACAGATATGTTTTAACCCTGCTGCATTCTTTGAATCGTTTTCTTTTTCTTTTTTTTTACCACTGAAATTTCATTGGTACGTGCAATTTTAATAGTTCTTTGATTTAATAATAATGTTTTTTAGAATAATGACAATTAGTTTGGCAAAAGGAGAGGAAATCAAATTTCAAATCTAAATTGTAAAAAAACTTGAAACAACAAAAAAATATAGAATAAGCTAACTTTGTCAAAATATTCATCGTTGAATAAATAATTTTGTAATATAAATTAATAAATTTTTTTACAAATTTATGCTCTGAACATTCTACTACCTACTGTGGTGTAATACTCAGCGTTCATCGCTGTACAAAGATTCCAGAATTCACAACAGGGTTAAAAATTAATCGTCTCTTTATTATCTTTGTCGGTTCGAAAGTTAATCAATCTCTCTTGCTGTTGTTGATTATTTCTTAAAAAAAAAAAAAAAAAAAAAAAAATGGATGTGCACGTTAAGAGGTTAAAGGTTCGAAGCTTACAATTAGCTATCAGTCTACCTCTGAATTCATAAATAAACGATTCTCCAATGCTCTCCATCTAACCGATTCAAGTATCAAATTATCAAAATTCCATTCGCTGTACCGTCTAACGAGTGCTCGACGAAAGGATTAAAAAAAAAGAAAAAAGACACTTCTTCGTCAAACGATTCACAACCGTGTGTTTCTATCATAAAAAACGCATCTCAAATACGCTTTGTACCATCGAATCGGACACGCCAGGCGTCGATCTCTTTCAATCTTTCTCGCTTGCAAACTCGTTAATATATATATTCACGCGATCAACGCATACTTCAAAAAGAAAAAAGAGAGAGAGAGAGAGAGAGAGAGAGAGACGAGAAAAATCGCAAGTCGCGTATTCATCCGATCGAACCCGTCTGTCAAACCCTCTCGAACAAGAGGCAGCAGCACCATAGACAACAGGGTTAGGTGTCATCGCTTGCGTAGGTAGACGCACACCATGGAATTGACACTGGCTGAAGCGACACGGGGTCGCGTTACGAACACGAGCCTCGCCCCTCAGCCATTTTCGTCTCTCACCCCTTGGCCTGCTCGTCCAGGAGCGGATTCCTCCGCGTGACGGACGCGTATCGGCGCGGATCCGAGCGTGGAATCACGCGCGAAACTCTCTCTCTCTCTCTCTCTCTCTCTCTTTCTCTCTGTCAGTCGCGACCCCTTCAGAGCTGCAGCCACTCGTGAGGCGCTGGCTGGGGGGGAGGGGTTGCCGTGTGAATAGGATCCCCAACGATGGCGGCTCTCGAATTACCCGACGCGTCTCATCCCGCGGCAATAAATACCTCGATCAATTATTCTCGTGCCGAACCATCGCAGAAACCCTATGTTTCGCGTCGTGGATAAATGGGTTCCTTGGGATTTTTAGCCTGTCACATGATTTCCACGTCTTTGTCGCAAGTGTGAAGCAAGCGGTGAATGGAAGCTTTCAGGATTTTAGTAAGGTTCTCATGAAATCGACGGATAGTAAAAATATTTGGCGAGGCATGAAATTTACTGTCTATCGGAAATATTAAGGAATTTTTACATCGTTCCTGAGAAAATGGAGTTAACTAAATTGCATCAGAAAGCAGATGAAGAAATTCTACTTCCCGAAAATAAAGCTTCCAGACTCAATATACAAGCTATACAAAGTTTGTTTTAAAAAACGAAAACAACTTGCTAATTTTGATTCCCCGTGATTTTCATTAGAAACAACGAGTGTTCGACCATTGTTTGTTTGGGACTACGATTATAATGTCACCAGATTAGTATTAATATAAAATACTATCAACTACTCTGACAATATCATTGCGAATGTTATTAATCGTTTCTCAGAAGTCCTTAATAGCGGGCGTAGCAGACTGTTTGCACGAGTCGAAATGTACCAGGGATGATGTATCGCTGCGTGGCCCTTTTTTCCTGTCAAGAATGAATGGTCTTGTGAGTTAGATCGTTCGGATTAATGCGACCCCTGCACTTTCCTCTTGAGTTCGAGGGAACTGAAGGGCATGGAAAAATGCTGGCGACGTCGAAGGGGTTGCTTCCCGCGGGTAAGAAGGGTTAAAGAGGAAACAGACGAGTTTTTGGCCTGTCTGAAGGGATGATGGCCCCAGAGTGGAAGAATCAAGGGTCTAACAGGGAATGCGTTACTCTCGTAAGAGTGTCCTGCTTGAGACTTGACTCGAATATCGATGAAGTTGCGTTTTAAGATTGTTCGAATAAAAATTTCAATTGGACCGACGATTTGATACAGATTTTTAGCAGAAGGCGAGGATTAGAGTAAAAGGGAGTTTGGTTTAGGGTTTCGAAGGCGCAGCGTACGACGTGGTAATAACGACGAGGGTACAGTGGTATAATATAGAGTGGAAACAATGATCGCGATAATGGACACGTGGCAGTGATGTTAACAATGCTGGTTCGGAATAATACTCTGGTTCCTGAACTGCTTGCACTGCTCAGTGTCGGGAAATATTATTATGTCAACTGCGTAAAGTTTACGGCGCGCTAGTTACAGGAAACTGTGTACTAGCTTTCGATTCGTCGGGCTTTCGTTTCCCTCTCCCACTCGGCGAAGAATATTAATTTTCCCCAGACGTCAGATAATTAATTTCGCGTAACACTAATTGCGTTGTCAGTGCTATAAAAATGGAATAAATTTCGTTGCACGTTCATACGTGCACCAAACGTAGACTGCGGTGGCTAATGAGTCAATATGCTTAAGTTAGGGTCAGGCCATTGTGCAGG